CTGAGCGAAAAACAAAGAGATGTCATTCCAAGAAGATACTCTCTCTCTCTCTCTTTTTTTTTTTTTTTGGTATTTGGCAGGATTCTATCTAATGCCCGCCTCCTTGCCCACACTCCTTAAAGTTGAGAAGACAGTAGACATTTCCTGCCACTGTCACCATCTTGGGGAAATGCCTTTCAGGAAACAGACCCACATGCATCACAACAGGTTAGCCCCAGGACAGCCACCTGCAACAGTGCATCACTCTTAGGTATAAATGGCCAAATAAAGATTGCTAAACATTTGAGGAAAACTGAAGAAAACTTAAAGCACTTCTAATTATTACTCAATGAAAACATGATTAGGAATGAGAGGCTACAGAAACAGAGAAAGAAAGTGCTTTTGGAGATTAAAAGAATGTCTAAATACATACTTCAACAGAAAGGCTGGAAGGGAAAGTTGTAGAAATCTCCTAGGACACAGCAAAAAGAAAAGGAAGTAGAAAACAAGAGATAAAAAATGAGACACAGAGGATTGACCCAGGAGTTCTAACATCTAACTAACAGGAAGAGACCAGAAAGAATACAGTAGAAATCATCAAAGATCGAACAGAAGAAAACTTACAAGGATTTAAGAAAGGCACGAGTCTTCAAATGTAAACTCTCTACCCACTGCTAAGCAGAATGAGGGGCCAGGGTGAAAGTTCAGAACACTGGGGATAAAGAAAAGACTCTAATACCTTCAGGGAGGAAAATACATTACCCAGAAAGGAATGAAAATCAGACTAACATCAGGCACTTATTAGTAACACTGAATGATGGAAAACAATAAAGCAATGTCTAGAGAACAGCAAACCTAGATTAGATAATGGGCCATGGATGCTCAGGATCTATGGGGGGAAAGTAGATTCTACACAGTCAGTTCAATAGAAGGCTTGATAAAACAACTGCTTAGTAGTGTCCCCTATTGAAAAGGATGCACTCAATCACTTTCTGCAGGAAGGGTAAGCTGGCACCCTTTTTGGAGGAAAGTCTGGCAGTAGATCCCAGACTTTAAAGCATGCCGATCCTCTGATCCAATAATCCATGATTAGAAATTCATCCTGTAGGTATACTAAGAGAAGTGTAAAATGATATATTTACCAGACTATTCACTACAGAACTGTCTATGATAGTAAAAACTAGAACTAGGAAACGTCATAAATGTCTTGGAGTTAAATGACCAGAGGTACAGCCATACAATGGAACACTGTACAGCCCTTACAAAGGGTGAGGTGCTTTTTAGGGGCACTAACATGGGGCAGTGTCCACCACATGCTATTAAATGCAAAAGCAAATTGGCAAAGACCATATAGAGGATTATCCCTTTAGGCAATGTATTAATAATAATGATGATAATGAATATTCATACATTTACAGGAAAAATTCTGTAAAGATATAACCTAAACTATCAACAGTTATTTTTGAGGTGATGGGAATTACAACAGATTCACTGCTATAGACATTTCTGTATTATTTAATTTTTTAAATAAATACTTTGCAGTAGTCATAATTAGAAAAAAATAAAGCAGTAATTTGAGGTTCACTTCAGCTCCAGGGTAAATTGATGAATGAGATCTCAAAATATCATGGGCTCAAATCTCATCTCTTCCCATTCTCCTCTGTGTGATCTCATAACCTGTAAGTCTCAATTCCCCCATCTGTAAAATGGGAAACCCAAAAGTCCCTGTCTCAGTGAAATTAAGAGAGCAGACATGCAGAGAGAAGCACAGAGCCTGGTCCTAGGGCGGCAGACCCAATGAATGTGAATGCCTTCCCTTCCTTCTTGGGCCCCTTCTGGCTAGGCCTCTAAGGGTAGGGGTGGCTGGGAGTCTAGCATCTGGGGTGGCACTTGGGGCATACCTGGGGTCTTGGTCAAAGGTGAACTGTGTTCCCTGACCGTGGTGTACATCCCAATCCACGATAAGGACCCTGTGAGCAGAAGAGAGGGGAGCACTGTGTTAAGGATCCAGGTGCATCTGGGGGAAGTACCCAGACCAAGCTACCCTACCCTGTGCCACCCCTATCACACCTTCCCCTCCTGCTTGCTGTTTACCTCTGAATGCCATGCTTCTGTTGAGCGTAGCGGGCAGCCACGGCCACATGGTTGAACATGCAATACCCGTCCATGAGACTGTGTTGGGCGTGGTGTCCAGGAGGCCTGGGCAGGACAAGGAAAGCCACGGACTAGGCGGGGGGGGGGGGCTTCCTCTGCAGAGACAGACTGCCCCTGCTCTCTAATCCTAGACTAACAACTATGCCAGTGCTGATGCCCACCAATCTGCCAGGAACTGAGTAACTGGGACCTTCGAACCCTCACCCCCAGTCTATTGCTCTCTCTCTGAAGGGAACTTGATAATGCTCATTAAAATTATCAATGCATACACCCTCACACCCAGTCATTCTGCTCCTGGGGACTTAGCCTACAACTTATATAACAAAAAGTGTGAAATAACATATTTATAAATGGACAACAATATTTGCTGTGGCATTTTTTTCTTGAAACAGCAAATGATTGGGGGAAACCCAAATGCCCAACGTTAGAGAGCTGGTTAACTTATTGTACACTTGCACGATGGTGCTCTACATGGGTTTAAGCTAGACACTGTTAGGAAAAGCTTTCTAAGATGTATAAGTGGAAAATGTATGGTATGAAAGGGAGTGTGTTAAGTGCTGGAGTACTCCCGAAAAAATAGGGAGGGAAGAGAAAGTCTCTATCTTCTGTATTTCATCAGTTCTAGGATGCCAATGGTGATAAGATATACTATGATTTTACATGCCAGCAACAAAGCAGAAAATGTAGCCAACTGAATTCTGAGATGTCACTGTTTGTAAGATGCATCTGGATTTCAAGATGTTACCAATATGAAAAAAAATGCATGTTAGCATCAACGAAATATGGTATTTACTCCACGAATAGGCACAGACTGTTTCTTGAGGACACTGGTTATAGTGACTACCTACAGTAGAGGAAGCAGGTGTATGGGAGGCAGGGACAGGGGTGGGAGGCAAATTTTCTTGTACCCCCTTTTGTACCTTAAGCATGTAAATACACTACCCATTACCAATACATTTTACAATTGAGAGAAGGACTTTTTTAAAATGTAAAAAAACCAAATGCTAGCGGGTCCTACCTGATGATGGCCATGCCATTCCGGATCTCTGCCCCCAGGACTGCATCCACCAGCCTGAGGACGGAGCCTGAAGCCAGGCAGGCGCAGGTGTATGAGTTCTGGAGATACAGTGGGGAGCCAGAGAAGGCATGAGGGAGAGAGCAGCCCTGCCCACTCAGATACTATCCCCAGGGTGGGGTGAGTGTGGAGGTGGGCATCCCCAGGATTACTACCACCCTCTGCTCTCACAGTTCTCATCCATACCGGATGCAGATAAACTGAGTCATAGGTGTCTGCTAGGATACGGAGTTCTCCCTCATTCATGTATTGGGTTGTCTCCATCAGATCAATGTATTCTAGGCTGCAGATACAGATGGGGGATGAGATTTCAGGAATCTACCTCCCTCCTTGGCCCTAAGCCAGGACCCTGTCCCCTCCCCAGCTAAGCCTTCCATGCACCAGACCCCTGGACAAGTCAGACATCCTCAATTGTCAATCTGGGGAAACAGCTGGGAAATAGGCCATACTCTCTACTTCTTCCTTAGCCCTTCTCATTTCCAGTAACATCCCTTGCCCTCTGCTCTAGCCATACCAAATCCTATTGCCAGGACTTTGGCCAGATTGTTCCAGCTTTCTGTATCTCCCTTCCTTCAGTTCTCCTCTTCATCTGACTGATTCTTTTCTCCTCTTAAAACTCAGATCAGACATTCCCTTTGCCAAGTTAGCTTTCCTTGGGCCATACCACACAAGGCCCCTTCCTGCAGTCCCCTGGAAAATCCCTTGATTGCTCTTTCCACACATCTACCAGCTGTTTACACAGCAGATTATAACAACCATAACAGCTCATCATGGGCTGATGCTATGTCAGGCACCATTCTAAGCACCCAGCACATATCAAACCCTCCTGAGAAACTTATGTTTACTAGCCCCCATGTTACAGGTGATGACATTGACATTCAGAGAGGCTCAGTGACTTGCCCAAGGCCAAAGCCCATGACATTCTTTCCCAAAGCATTCACTCTGCCCTGATGGGCTCAGGGTAGCCTCTTCCCCAACCCTACAAGGCTTCCAACCCTTCACCTGTGAACCAACATCAGCTCCTCCTTTTCAGCAAACCGGGCCTGGGAAGACACAAGGAACACAAGGAACAAAGAGCCAAGGCAGTCACCACACCCAGGTCCTGCCAGCTCCTGCCCTCCACCCAGGGCTGGGGGACTCACCTGAAAGGACACACAGCGGTCCAGGAGGCCCTCCTGGATCAGTTGTTCCTTGATGGCATGGAGCCGCTCGGGGCCTTCAGGGAAGCTGGGTTGGCAGAAATATAGTCACATGCATACATAGACATATATATGAGGACACTATTGAGCAGCACATCTGTCCCTGCACATCTTTCCATCCACTCTTCCACAACTGCTCATGCCAGCGGCTTTGGAGTCACCCCTGGTGCCTGTTGGCTCTGTTCTCAAAATACATCCAGAGCTTGTCCCTCTCCTTATCACCTCCACTGCTGCTACCATAACCTCCTGCCTAGCCTATTGCAGTCAGCTTTTCATTGGCCTTCCTGCTTTTGCCCTCACTCCCCCAATAGTTCTTTCTCTGCACAGCAGCCAGACATCAGTTAAAACTCAAATCGGATCATGTCCCACCTCTACTCGAAACTTTCTCGTGGCTCCCATCTCATCAAACCAAGTACTTTCCAGCAGCTATTTTCCTCCCCGCCTAGAACACTCTGCTCCCAGATGTCTCCACAGCTCTCTCCCTCACCTCTTTCAGGTCCCTGCTCAAATATCAGTGAGGCCTTCCTTGACCATCCTATATAAAACTGGAGTCCCCTCTACTGCGCTTTCAGCTACCCTCTCTCCCATGTCAGTGTTTCTCCACAGCACATCTTTCTAACACACTGTACCATTTACTTTTTGGTTGTTCACTGTCTGTCTTCCCCCTTGAAAATGTAATCTCCACAAAGGCAGAGGTTTTGTTTGTTTTGTCTACTGCCACATCCCTAGCTCCTCAGGAGTTGGTAGATCTCTATTTAGTAATGAAGTCTTTTGCCTTCCTGAGTCTTCCATTGGGATAGGGTAGATAAACTGAACTGATAAACACATAAGTATAATAATGACCAAAAAATGACATGGACTAGGAAGATCTTGAAGATTCGGTGTGGGGGGAGGGAATGGCCAGGCAAAGCCCTCTCTGAGTCTCTTTGAGATATGAATGTTAACTGGGAGGAGAGAAGGTAGAAACAGATCTCTGGAAGAGAGACTGGCCAGGGTAAAGACCTGAGATGAGGGAGTGCCTGGCATGTTAGAAGAACAGCAAGGGGACCGGTGTGGGTGAAGTGAGTAAAACAAAGTGAATGAGGGGGATTGGCTGATGAGGTCACCAAGTCGATGTGGAGCCAGATCACATAGAACCTAAGAGGCCAGGAAGAAGAATTTAGACTTTACCTTGAGGGCAACGGTCTTCCCTTGACAGATTTTAAGAAAGAGAACATCATCTCATACATATGTTTTAGGCTGTTGTGTGGAAAATAGACAGCAGGGGTGAGGGTGGAAGCAGGAGACCAGTGAAGAGGCCTCTCAGTCTCAGTGAGTGATGATGGTGGTGGCAGTGAAGACAGTAAGGTCAGGTACTGCATACATTTTGAATATAGAGCCAAAAGAATTTGCTGATGGATTACAACATGTGTGAGCGAATGAGAGGTATAATTCTTCCCTTTCAGCACAAATGTCATTTCTTCAAGGATGCCTTCTGGGAACCCTGGATGCTAGTCTAGGATCCTCTATTAAACACTCTTGAAGCCCCTGGTCTTAAGCCCTCCTTCATTAAACACTTCATATTGCTGTTGGCTGTTTAATAATCTGCTCTTCTACTCATCTATCAGCTCCTTGAGAAGGGACCCTGCCCATCTTGTCCAACACATTTGTATCACCAACTCCTGGCACACAGGAGTTGTGATACAATAAATGTTTGCTGGCTAAATGAAAAGAACTCTTCCAGGCCTGAGCCTCACCTCCCTAAATCATCTGTTCCCAGTCTCTAGGCTAGTGTAAGAAAGGATTTGTTCTTGCTAATTGCTCTAAGAGTGCGTATTTGTGTGGTTCAGGAACAGTCTGGAGTAGTCAGCCTCACCTGTCATCCCAGAGGCAGTGGAATTCATTGAGCTGCTCATCTAACACCAAGCCAGTACCAGACAGTGTCTTGGCCTCAACGTTCAGATCCTGCAAAGAAAAAAATGGGTAACACGGATCCATTTAGGGCCTGAGTCAGAGGGAACATCCCATACTGTCCAGGATGGAGAAACTCAGGGTTTTGATTGTCACAGGAGGCTAAATTGTGGCCAGGCCTCTCTCACCAGCCCTTGCAGCCCCACGATTAGGTCTTGCCCTGTTGCCTGGCTGAGCTTCTTCATTCTGCCTTTCTTCTTAACTTCTGCTAGTTTGGGGCTGGAGTGGAGCGTGGCACCCTTCTTAGTACCTCGCTTCTGCCAAACAAAAAGAAGTGTCAGAGTCCACTGCAAAGCCCACTGCTTCCCCTCCCCCTCACCAGGATGGGTCTGGGGCCTCACCGAGGTGACGTTGGAGTCGTGGGGGGTCGAGTGGGGGTTGTGCCTACTCCGCTGCTTGGTTGTGGTGGAATCCTGGCCAGTGGAGGTCATGGTCGGGGAGACTTCGCCCCTAACGCTGTTCTGGGGGGTGCAGTAGAGGTGACTGAAGGGGCTGGGGTGCCCTGAGGACCCCGCATCCCAGCCCCTTCCAAGGCCACGCCCCTTATACTAGTCTCCATCTGTTATGCTATGCTATTCCCCCACCACCTTCTAAACTCCGCCTCTCAAGGCTCTCTCCCTCCACTGGGGTGTCCATTCCACGAGGTCCCGCCCACTTCACTAGACTCCACCCCTTTGCCACTATTCTTTCCCCTTTCAAAGTCTTGCCCTTTCAAAGAGCAATTAACCCCCAGGCTCAGGCCATTCTAGGGCCCGCTCTTTCCAGAAAATCACTGCCTCTCCCTCTCTAAGCCTCATTCCCAGATCCTTTAATTCCTCACAGCCTCGCCCGGACCCCACCTCTTCACTGACGCCCTTTCCAGCCAATCTCCCTGGATAATTACCCACCCTTTCTCTCAGCCAGACCCAGTCCTAGCCCGGGCCCGGGCCCAGGACCGACTCCACTTAACTCCACCCCTTATCGGGCCCGAATGGCACCTTCCACTTGGCCAGATCCCGCCCCTAACGTTTCAACAAGCTCCGCTCCTCAGGGGACCGCCCCTTTCCTTCCACCAGGCCCAACCCCCGCCCAAACCCTACCCATGACGCTTCCCTAACTAAACCCCTTCTGTCAGTTTCGAGCCACCTCTCACCCGCCCTCGCCCCCTCCGCCAACGCCAACCAATCCCTTCAGGTCTACTCACTGGGCACCGCCCTTTTCTTAAACTCCGCCCACGGCTCGCACTGCCCAATACCTGTGGGGCTGCGGGTGCCCTAGACCAGCTTTTCCATTGGGCCGGGTCTCTCTACTGCTCGCCGAGATCCCGCCCTCACCACGGATTGTGAGGACCGTGCCCCTCCTGTGGACCACACCTCCCCGCGAGGTCACTAACAGTCTGTTTGCGCATCAGCGTGCGACGCGGACCTTGCTGCGCTTGCGCGAAACGCGGGGCGGGCGGTCGGTCAGACACGGCGCTCAAACTCAAGCTCACCCCTGCCCCCTCTCCCAACCGCCAACGCTGTAATCTGGCTTCCCTGGCCACCGTCTCTCTATCACTGTCCAGTCACCTTAGGAGCCCTCTGGACCCGCGACAGTTGTGCCGGGCGATGACTAAAAGAAGCGAGCGAGGGAGTTAAGGAAAGGCGTCTTCCCTCCTTCCCGCGGCTTCTGCGTCGCGCGCCGTGATGACGTATCGCGGGCGGGTCGGAGCCCGGTTGAAAATGGACGGAGGCTGGAGGTGGCCAAAGGGGAGTGGTGATGCTGCTAAATGTGGCGAGGATTTTTTTAAGTTAATGTTTACAAAGGTGGTACACAGGAAGCAGTCACCAAATGTTAGCTATTAATATTCTGCCGCGAAAATGTATGGCGGGGCGGAAGGAGTCTTAGTAGGGCAAGTAGTTATAATGATAGCAAGTATTACGTGTCAGGCATTTTTGTAAGCCACAATTCTCTGAGGTAGTTCCCACTGTTAAGGCTGCTTTGCAGATAAGGAAACAGCTTATGCGACTATAGCCATGTGACTTTGGGCAAGTTACAGAACATCGCTGTGCTTCAGTTTCCTCATCTGGAAAATTGTGATAAAATAGTGCCTGGGGACAGAATAGACTCACGGAGGGGAATTTTTCTTTTTTCTTAAGCAGCAGCTCTCCCGGTCACCCCCTCCACCGAGTAACCTCTGCTCCCAAGTTGTAAAGGAAAGTGCATGCCTAGAAGGAAGAGGGTGTTGCCCCCTTGTGCCCCACCCCCAACTCTCCCACCCCAGGTCTAAATAGCCCTGCAGGAGGCCGGTTTGTCCTCCTAATCTCCTTTTCTCATTCTTCACCATTTCCTACCCGGCTGTAGGCTGGGGCTGGAGAGATAAGCGGTCTGGGGTTCATTCAGCATCGCTGACTAACAAACAGATTGACAGCCCCACCACCCAGTAGCTAGGCCGTCTGACCCTCTTGAAAACCCCAGTTCTAACCCTCTGTTCCCTTCTACTCTTCTTGCCTGCATATGTCTTTTGTCCAGGTGGAAGAAGGTCACAGCCCTAAAACCTTTAAACCTCCACATATACCAAAGAAAACACAGTGATACACACTGAGGAACATTCTGGGGTTGTGATGCCTGCAGAGTAATATAGTAGGGAGTCTTGTAAGGGTCAAAACCCATTTTTCTGTATAGTCAAAGAGAGGTTTCTATGGAGCAGAGGTTGGCAAACTTTCTATGAAGAACCAGATAGTAAATGATTTTGGCTTTGCAGGCCACATACGGCTGGCTGGCTGGCTGGCTGGCTGGCTGGCTTGTTTGCTTTTTTTTTCTTTCTTTCTTCCCTCCCTCCTTACCTCTCTCCCTCCTACCTTCCTTCCTTTTCTCTTTTTTTCTTTTCCTTCTTTCCTTTTAAAAATGTAAAAACAGGCTGTTATCCGGCTCTGGCCTGAATGCCATAGTTTGCTGATCTCTGCAGTAGAGTGTCAGTCTTCGGTTTCCTTTATCTGGCTGGGATCCTTTTATGAAGTAAGTGCAGAGGTTCTGTGCTTCCTGAGGAAGGGTATGCCTTTTATGTTAGGTGTGAGGACAAGGATTCATAGGATCCGGTCACTTCTGGTATTCTGGGATAAACAAATGTTCCTGGACAGAGATTCCTACAATTTCTATATTATTGTTCCTTCACTGAACCAAGCAGGGGTTTCTAATAGGACAACACAGTTGTTTCTAGAGAGCCCCAGACTAGGGGTTCCCATACAAGTTCAAGATAGGGCTCCTTAGACTGCATTATGATAGGTTCCTACAAAGATATCATATGGTCCAATTCAGGGTCAGCACGGGTGTTTCTATACAGATTCAAAGCTATGTTCACATAGACAGTAGGATTAGGTGTTCGTGTCCAGATTCGGTCAAGAGATTATTATTAATTGGGCTATATTAGGCTAGCTGCTATAACAGACAAACCCAGAATCTCAGGGGCTTAATAAATAAGTGTTTATTTCTTGCTCATACAAAATCCAATATGAATATTACTGGTCATTCATGGACCCAGACAACTTCCATTTTGTGGCTCTGCTCTTCTCTCAGTCCTTGGGGTTCTCACTATTCAGCTGGTAGATAAGGAAAGGGGGAAGATTCCATGAGAGGTTTTTATGAGCCAGGCACTCTGTGCACACTTTATTGATCAGAACTCTGTCACATGTCCACATCTAACTGTAAGGAGGGCTGGAAAAATGGGCTTATCAAGAAAGGGAACATTTGATAAGCCTATAGCAGTGTGTGCTATAGGATTCTGTAGATTCTACAGAGCTATGCTATTTAACGTGGTAGCCACCAGCCACAGTCAGACAGTGGTTCCTGTACGAGATGAGGGTAGGGCTTCCAGAGCAAGGCTAGGGCAAGTGCTGACAGAGTCATGTTAGGGCTTCCTGTACAGTGTCAGGGGAGTGTTTCCAGAGTGCAAGGTTAGGAGTTCCTATAAAGCAGTGGTCCTGAACCTTTTTGTACCAAGTACTGGTGCTCCTATGAGAATCTAATGCCTGATGATCTGAGGTGGAACTGAGGCTGTGATGCTAGCGCTGGGGAGCAATTGCAATTACAGATGAAGCTATGCTCGCTCATCCGCCATTTCCTGCTGTGCAGTCCGGTTCCTAACAGGCCACTGACCGGTACTAGTCTGTGATCCAGGGGTTGGGTACCTCTGATATAAAGGATCAGGTCACAGATTCCTGTAAATCAGTCAAGTTAAAGATTTCTATTGAAAGTCAGTAAAAGGTTTTTCTGCAGAGTCCGGTCAGAGGTTCCAGTACAGTTGTAGGTAAGGCTTCCTGTAGAGGGTCAGGGCTGTGGAGCTAACATGGCAAGGACAGGAAGCCCTGTATAGTGCCAGGTGAGGCCATAGGTGCCCCTATAGGATAAGGTCTGGGTTTAAAGTAGAGAGTCAGGAAAGGGTTTTCTACGTAAGTTCAAGATAGGTTCATGTTGAGAGTTGGACCATAGGTTCCTGTGGACTATTGGGTAGGGTGAAAGATAGGAATTGTGCAAAGTGATGTGAGGGGGCATTATTGTCAACAGTGGAAACAAGGGCTCCTGAACTCAATCAGGGTTCCTAAAGAGGTTTCAAATGGGGATTTCTGCAGAAAGTCGGGTCAGTGGTTCAGAACTAGATTTTATTGTGAGTGAAGTATCTAAAATGATACGTAGAGGGCAGGACTCCAGTACAGTGTGAGAACAGAGGTGTCTTGTCCAGGGTCAAGCCAGGATTCATATAGAGAGACTGAGGTTCATGAAGAGGGTCAGAACAGGCATTTCTATAAGGTGGTGCAGAAGCTTCCTTACATTGTGGATTCAGAGATTCCTAACTGAGGTAAGGCAGAGGTTCCTCTGCCATGGCAAGACAGGGTTTCCTCCTATACAAGGTGTTCCTGTCCAGGATCAGGATGGATTTCCTGTTGATAATTAGAGAAAGGGTTCCCTTAGAGTCTAGAGCTAGATTTCTGTACCAGGCTAGGGCTGCCATTCTTACAGGGGGCTGAGGACCGGGGTTCCTTAACAAGGTGGGGCTGGCACATTTCCAGCACAGATTCTGAGAGAGATTTCTGTTCAAGATGAGGAGAGAGGCTCCTATAGGATGAGATGGCTGGGGTTTTGTGGGGTTGCCAGACAGGAGGCTTTTATAGGGCCAGGGCATTTCCAGACAATCCCTGTAATGAGCATAGACTACTGTAATTCTGCAGTGAGCTAGTGTGGCAATTAGCTAAAGGGGTGCTGTTAAGAACAGCTGCTTACCTATACTATGTTCAGGATATGTAGTCCCACAATTCCCATCTCTGGGGCTCTTGGGGAGAAGCCATAAAGAGGAGCAACCCAAAAGTAAATCCAGGTTTGAGTGAATTGAGGAGCGAGTGATTAAAAAAGAGAAAGAGAAAAGCAGCCTAAGTATGGGAAAGACTCACTTTGGCGAGGAGGGGGGTGCCCCATCCAAATGCCAGGGCAAGTTACTCATCATTTCTGAGCCTCACTTTTTCATTAGTAAAATGAGTACAAGTGTACTTTTTTTAGAGTATTTTTTTCAGGTGTTCATGAATTAAAGCAACTGAGGCCTCTCAGCCATTGCTGACCCATAGTAAGCACTCAGTAAATGGTGCTGCGCACTGTTAGGAGCCACTTAGTAGTGTGGAGGCTAAGCCATGGAGCCTGGCTAAGCCATGGAGCCTGGCTCAGCCCGGTGCCACCAACTGTGTGGCCTAGGTTGAGCCATTTAACCTGTCTGGCTTAGGATATCACCTGACTCAGCGCACGTTTTTATATGAGGGTTTGTTCAATAAAAGAATAGATTCTGCTTTGGGAGGAGCAATTCACCTAGATGAATAAGTATATTGGGGAGGGAGTTGGTACTGTGGGGAGTTTCTATGGTGTCTAAATTCCGCCCCCACCACCCGAGGCTATTTTGTCCTAATCTCCCCCTCTCGTTCTCTACCATTTCCCACAGGGCTACAGGCCAAGCTGGACCAAGAGAGAGATAAGAGATGAGTGACAGGAAGGCCCATGGACAACCCCACGGTCCTGGACTAGCCTTCTGACATTTTGTTGGCTACCATTCCAGTCCCACCCTTCCCTCCCATTCCTGTCCTGAGTATGTCTTCTGTCCCTTGGAAGGGGATCCCTAACTTACACCGCCTGAAACTACGTATGTTGATACCTCCACAAACAAGTATACAGAGCTGCTCACATTGTCAGCCACTCAGAGACACTGTGACATTGCATATGCCACATGATATGCTCACACACAAAGACTTGCACAGAGATACTGCCATTTCCAGACCTACAAAGACATCCTGACATGCAGATCCTCACAGTCACACTGTTACGTTGCCACACACTGTCATACGCATTCTTCAACATTTAAAAAGTATTTATTGATCAAATTCTGTGCCCAGTACACACGTTGTCACTATCTCAAAACCATCCTGTGTTGTGCTCAATCACATGAACACAACCCCACACATTTCCTCAGTACATGATGTCGCACACAAACAT